ATCATTGGACGGTGGCCAACGTGACCGGCCTAAAAAACGAACAATCCCGTCCATTCGGCCGACCCAAATGGCCGAAACCCACGTCCGTTTGGATCGGCACGTTGGAGTTGCATCCTCATCGAGCTCATGGAGCAGTCCACAACTCATCTCTAGAAAAACGCTTGCTCCTCGTGATAGTGTAACAGAAGGCTATATATATACTCCCTTCATTCCACAATATAGTGCGTCCGCGCTTTCTGAGATCCAAGTTTGACCGTAAATTTAACCAATAAGATTGATTGTGGCGGGGACAAAAATTATATCATTGAATTCATATTAAAAATACGAATTCAGTGGTATAATTTTTGCCCCCCGCCGCAGTCGATCTCGGTAGTTAAACTTACGGTCAAACTTGAATCTCGCAAAACACGGACGCACTATATTGTGGAATGGAGGGAGTACAAAACAGCAATAGCCTTTCAACATCACTTACCACACAGAAAGGGACGCGCAACACTTTGACTTTGACCAATAGTGAAAACATAAATAGGAGCACCCATGTGATACAGTCTTTTGTCCATACCTCGCTGTATCTGCGCTCCTTTTTTTTCAGCCGGCCAAGACATGCAGGCAAGCAACCATCCTCCATCAAGCAGGTTTGTTTGACCATTTCCCACAGCTTGCACTGCCTCTTCCCGCAGCCATTTCGCTAGCCACCGGAGCACTTTCACTTAGCTAAGGAGTGATCGTTATTATGCGCAGGGACAAACGCACACACAAGGAAGAAGAAAAGCATAGAGTTTTTTTTTCCTCGCACTGCACACAACTTGTGTCTCTTTCTCTATTTCTTCTCAACAAAAAGTGGGACATGCATGCACACACACGATAAAGCCACACAACGGCTTGATCCGTTTACCACTCACCACTAGGTACTTAGCTAGTACATGACTAACACAAGGACTAACACAACTAACTCACATGCACATGCAACCTACTCTCAAGGATCGACTCAAGTTTACGTGTATGCCTCAACTAACTCAACACCCTTAGAACTAGTCTCCCGGCTTGCCAACTTACTGATCCTCACACTCTATTAGCAACCTGCAATAGCTAGCTTTCAGCCCACTAACACTCATTACTATTGACTAAGTGAGTTAGGTAATGTATGCATACATGCAAACATCTCCTGGCTCGCCGATCTGCACGCTCGCGCACCCGCATTTGTGCTTCTCATCCGGCTGCTATACGATGTGGCCGAGCATGTAAACAGCACCTAGCTCACTCTACCTGTTGAACAATGTCAAAGAGATACAGCTATATATCGCGCTGATTTGATTGTCTTCACTACAGACTCATTTTTGGTCTGCAATTAATGGCCCTTTCGGCTCTAAAATGATGAGCTGATCACCGGTTAACACAGCTTGCAAGTAACTATGAATGGATGATTCATTGAAAATTCAAGCTGAGTTGCAGCATGCAACGTTTTCTCAGGCTTGCAACTGAAAACATGGCAGTAACAGTTCCAGCAAGAACGGTTCCTAGCTTGTCAAAACGTGGCCGGCCCAGCAGCAAGGGCAGTTATTGACAAGCGGTCTTGAAGGTGCCGAACCGTTTGCGGTCGCTGCAGCCAAATCATGCCCATACTTGCTAAAAAAAGCTTAGGATGGATGGAACCTTTGAGTGTTAACTACACAACAAAACATACAACACATGCTTACCCAGAATGGTTCATGCTCGAAGACCAATGCTTGAAAGGGGCTGCACGCATTCTATGAATACTCCTGCCATCGCAGGTCATAGGCTTCCATTTTGGTCCGCTGCTGTGTAAAGGACCCCACATGGCTTCCTCTTTGGTAATAGAGATCATCCAAAACTCAAGAAATAGGAACCTTATCTACAAGAAAGTTCGGATCTCGATGCAAGCAAAGGGTTCAGATAACAGCCACTCTAGCTAGTGTTGATAGAAATCCATGCTCTCTCTCTCTCTCTCTCTCTATATATATATATATATGTGTGTGTGTGTGTGTGTGTGTGTGTGTGTGTGTGTGTGTGTTGTCTGATGACATCAAGAATGATAGAAGCATGAAATATGGACGCTAAAAATACGGCACATGACATTGAAATTAGGAAGCTTGATGCCATGATGAGGATGCATCTGTTATTAATTTGGGCATGGATTCATTTTTCTGACTGTATGGAAGGGGCAATTTATAAGCACTTTTGAGTGATGCGGTATAAATTGCAGTAGGGTGCATTTTCAGTTTTAGGTGGAAGCATGGAATTTTGAAAAGGGAAAACATATCAAATTTACCGCCAAGCTGTGGATATGTCACTAGTGGAAAAATGATCAAATGTGAGACACATTAGTCCCGGTTTGTAACAGAACCGGCACTAATGTGTCCATTAGTGCCGGTTTCAACGGCTAGGCGAGAGGAGCTCTTTAGTACCGGTTCGTGGCGAACCTTTAGCACCTTTAGTATCGGTTCGTGGCATGAACCGGTACTAAAGGTCGTCCTATATAAACCCTTCGTCCACCCGCACTCTGTTCTTCCCCCTCCCCCTCTCCTCTGTTCTTCCCTTCTTCCTCTCGAGTTCATCACAAAATTTGCCCCAAATTTGTCAAGATTTGCAGGCCCCCATCCATTCAAATGATCACAAAGGTTAGCAACTTTGTCCTTTCATCTCTCATTGCTAGATTAGCTCTTGCATTGGTTTATATAGTGATTAATTGTGGGTTTTAGTAATTTGGGAGGAATTATATGTCGTAGTATTTGATTTATATGCAATTTGAGGTCAAAATAACACTTAGTTTGCATATGTAGGTGTGGTTTACTTAGTGCCTTCTAAATCTCCGTCGTAACCACCATCAATCGCCCGCAAATCTTGACTAGGACAAAAAAGCCAACCCCTAGTTGCGAGTCGATGGTGGACTTGCAAGTGAGGCGGAAAAAAAGTCAGGTCCAGTTGTAAGTCCACCCTCAACTTGCAACTAATGCAAAAAAAATGACTTAGCCGAACCTATTTGCAAAACAAAATAAACATCGAGCCTAGTTGCGAGTCAGAGGGTGACCTTTCAACTAGAGACAAAAAACTCCAGACCCAGTTACGAGTAAAGGGTGGACATGCAACTAGAGGCAAAAAAGATTAGGGGCCCAATTGCATGTCAATGATGGACTTGCAACTGGGACAAAAATGGATTGGGCCTAGTTGCGAGTCTTTGGTTGACTTGCAAGTGTGACAAAAGAAAGATCAAGAGCCCAGTTGTGAGACGAGGATGGACTTGCAACTAATTAGACCTTTGCAACTGAAGCGACAACCATGATCCGAAACGGGGTCAATGGCGCGAAATCAAGTTCTCACAAGGAAAAAAACAACAAAAGATCGAACAATGAGGGGCTTAAATGAGACATGGTTGAATTTCATCTAGATAAGAATTAGTGAAACAGAGGGGCAACAAAAGACCAAACGCCAAGGTGTATGTCAAGATTTGCACGGCATTTAAAGCAAACAGATCAAACAATAAGAAACTTAGACACGATACATACATTACTAAATTTCATCTAGATGAGAAGTAGAAAACCCGTTTAAAAATGTCCATGAATTTAAAGCAAATAAATAAAGCAGAAAAAAGAAAAAAGAAAAAAACTGTGGATTTTAAAAATTCTTGGAATTTAAAAAATAAATGAAAAAAATGGCATATGTTCACCCGAGCGACAAACACGACAACAATCTACCCGAGCGACAAACATGAATCAGATTGTGTAGATCGTCTTAATACATTGTTCTAGTTCAGTAGAACAACACCCCACTAATAAATGACGGCTCAGGAATATTATTTTACAAGAGGTGAAGTCACAATAAATAAATAAAAAATAACTAAAGAGAAGAAGAAAAAACGTCCAGCCACTCACCTCCCGATAAATTGAAAGAATGAACATGGCAGCCTCTCCTTGAATCGCTCGCTGCTGGTCTGAAGGACTGAAAAATGCCAAGGATTTAGGCTATTGACACGCCTCATTGGCGAAAAACAAGATTAAAGACAATCAAAGATAAAACAAGATTACAGGAGTACCCACACCCCACCATGAAGCATCTTAGGCTATTGACACGCCTTCTTGAGAAACAACTGAGCTGCCATCGGAGAGGACCGCCTTCCCTCTCACTCTGGGTCGTGGAGCACTGATCCTGCCCGCAGACAACGAGGACCTCCAGAGGCTCCTTCGTGCAGCATGACGGCAATGAGGTGGGGGAGGTGCTCCGGGGCGGCGGCCGGACGACATCACCGGAGAAGACCCGAGGCCGGCGGGGAAGTCTCCCTTGATGCAGAGCTCTGCATCGAGGGAGCCCGTGGATGGAAGGGGGCGGTCAACTTTTTTTCTTTTTTCTTTTTTACTTTCATAGGAGATGTCGCTGACAGGTGGGCCTGGCCCAACTTAGTGGTCAACGGTCAGTATCTATGAGTGGGCCCTAACTGTCATAAAACAATTCAGAGTTTAATCACACAACAATTTGGGGTTTTTTGGAACAGCCAACCAAAATAGTGGTAGCATTCTGAGAAATTAAGAAAAATGCTAGGTTTTTCATAGCCTTAGCCCGTAATGTGGTAGTTTTGTGCTATTTACTCGAGTACGGGGAGCTCCAGAGAACACTGAGTTTTCTTCCAAGTTCTGCAGTTTTTCTTGAGAACTGATCCAAAATCTCTTGTCAGACCACGATTTTAGAACAAATATATCTACTAGTTTGAAGATATGGAACAAGATGTAAGCAAAGGACTTCTTGCTTTTGATGGATTCTATTCTAATATTTGTATTCACAACATACACTTCCAACGGCCCGAGTTGATACCTACTCCCTCCGTTCGGAATTACTTGTCTCGGAAATGGATGTATCTAGAACTAAAATACGTCTAGATACATCCATTTTCACGGCAAGTAATTTCGAACGGAGGGAGCAGCTGTTTGTTCTCCACCTCCTGCTGTCCACAGCAGCACCTCCTACTTGTCAATGGTGTATGCAATCCCCTACAGCTCGTCCTTTGGGTTGGAACCGGAGCTCTTCTCGGGCCCGGTTGAGGAGCCTGGGCCCTCAGCGCTGTCGGTCCGCGCTGCTGACGAGTCTGGGCGCTTGAGCTTGAACGGGATGGCGGCATGCTTCTTGAGGAACTTGTACATCTCCACCACCGTCCGGTCCCCCTCGAAAGTTATCTGCAACAGTTTATTCAGCCAAATGAAAGCAAAGAAACTGAATTAGTGGATGCCAATTCCAGCACCTGCGAGCTTAGCTACTTCTCCTTCCATATCAAATTTGCAGGCATATAAACATGGAATCCTTTCAGCAAGGAGCCGAGGACAAATCAGCGGCTCTGAATCACGCGTTGAACTTAAACACGCATGCATGCTTTAGGTGAGTTTAAGGAGTCTGGAGACAGTTCTAACGAAACGTAGATGGTATCACTGCCAAAAGCGTGTCGAGGAGATAGCTGAGGATAATGTTATTGCTGCAAACTGAAAGACAACACAAACTAGCAGATCTGTCGCTAAATAAAGCGCGAAACGTAAAATTAAGTGACTTACAGGCTCAAAGCTTTTCTTCCCAGCTGGATAGAAGAGTATCGTGGGGAATCCATCGGGCTGTAATGTAACAGGAAGCAAGCGTCAGTTCCATCAGTATTCTGGAAAAGTCTACATAGTAGTGAACGGAAGAGATCGAGTATCTGTATTTTCCATGTATGAATTCAAGAAAAGTTAATCATAAGAAAAACAGGGCTAAATGAAAGGCAACTTTAAAGTTTCTGTATCTGGGAATCCGATCCTTTGCGTAGCAGTCGTAATCGTAACACTGTTGCACTATTTCAAGATGTTATGGACCTATCTCTATCACCCTAGCCAAATCTGGCTTGCCAAATATGACCCATTTCCCAAATTAACTTGTCTCTAACCCCTAACAGCATGTGATTCAAATCTGACAATAGCCTATTAATACTTTGCTACGCACCGGCGGGGTTACCTCTTTAACCCATTAGACAAAATGTACCATGATACTGTGGAATATGGATAAATAGGTGACTAATAAATATATTTAGCATATAGTAGATGGCGGCAGACAGATAATGGACCGATACTTTCTGCGCACCATAAACAAGTGCAACTGCACATTCAAGTGAAGAAAGTGGTGAAATAACTTCCACTTGTTTTACAACTAGCATCGTTTCATATAAAATGCATGTACATGCTCCATGACTATTGATGGCCCCGCACTCAGACTAGTTTAGCAAGTAATATCCAGTTTGACCTTTGAAGAAAACAGTAGGGAAACTATCTGTGACACAGACCTTGGCACGGGGGTGCTCATTGTTTGTGCCGTCCATTTTGGCTATTACAAGGGAGTCGATGCCACGGAGATACTTGCCCAGCTTGTTGTAGATAGGTTCCAGTGACTGACAATGCCCACACCATGGTGCATATATCTGCGTCCGAAATGGCGCGGCGTTATGGACAGCACACAAGTTTTATCTTCTCAAATACCTACCTGGCAAGAACTGAACATTACATACCTCCAAAAGGACATCCTTTGATTCATCCAGAACTATTTGATCTAGACTCTTGCCAACAACAACTTTGACGTCCTCATCGTTCTGCATGGGAACACATAGAATGTCTTATTGCCGTGTAAATAATGACAGAGAAAAGAGATATCAGATAATTCTTCTCGACTCACGGATTCAGGTACTGGGTCAGACTTGTAGGATGGTGTGAGCTTGTCCTCCAGGAAATCTTGAGCAAATTCCTGGGTATTAACAAGTAGAAAGATTTTTGTAAGGAACATTGTACTTTCTTGAACAATGATACTTGATACCATCCTACCAAACAACATATAGCACGGCATAAGCAGAAATATACAGCGGTATAAAAAAGAACAGCATAAATCAAATAACAAAAAGCAAAAACACGTTCGTCAGCTTACATATTGCTAACATACTATATTCTCTTGCAACTGTTGACCACATTCTTTTGATTTTACTTCCAACCTGGTACTGAATTTGCAAAAATATTTTAAGCAATTACCTTAAGAAGAACTTCTTAGCGTCCTCATTCCCAGTGTAAGCAAGAACCTGCAAAGTAATCGAATCAGCATGTACAAAATGGAAAGAGCAGACACATTAAAATCAAAGTCAAGTTGCTGCATGCTGTTTCTGTGCAATAAATCAAAACACAGACAAACATGACAAAAAGAAAAGAGGTGTTACCGTGGTCTCGTTTCCAGTAATTCCAAAGTAATTGGCGACAGGTTCGCCAACCTCCTCATTGTCACGCTCCACAAAGACAAATAAAAGCTGCATTTCAGACACAGGCCACATCAGTGCTTAGTGAGACTCCACCTCAGCAAACACACGGGTTATTAGAAAGGAAATAAGTGATGGCTTGGATTCGAGTATAAAACGTGGGACACGACAGAGGAAAAAGTTCATGAAACACTTGTCCGATCAACAGAAAAAATACCTTCCCCTTGAATGATTTTGCCGTTTCCTTAATGATGGGCAGGAATTTTGAGGACTCCTTCGCAACAGCAAACAGCAAAATCTGATTTCGAAATTAGAAGACAGCAGATCAGCAAAGGAGTGATGCATGGGCCGACAACATGATGAAAATAAAACCCCATGGCAGACAGCGTTACGTACTTGCTTCTTGATCGGATTATCGAAAATCGCAGGGCCGGTCTCCTGTGTGAGGGTGGTGATCAATGGGATTTTGTTGGCCGAAACGAACTCGGCAATCGCAGAAGCTCTGAACTCGCCATCTGCATGGCACACATTACATTATTATCCAATTGAATGGTCGAACCAAAACGTGTAAAGAAATGGAAAGGAAAGGCTGGCGCTGAAAGCTAAAGCAACTTGGAGGTGAAGATACCAAAAACGGTCAACTTCTCCTCCTCTTTCTTCAGCAGGACTACTGATGGGCGCTTTGCCTCCGGGTCAATGTGGAAAAGCTTGGCTACATCGGGGCTGGTGGTCTGGTAGAAGCTGACGGTATCTTCCAGCCTTGAAGCAGCAGCAAGCTCATCGCTGTGCGCACCCTACAGCATTTGTTGACACAGTAATTAAGATTCATCACCATACTGTATTTATGTAGTGCCCAATAAGCTAAACATACAAGCACATCTCAGATTTGTTCTCAGCACACGGAAACAGAGCATGCAGGTTGACATTTTATCTACTAGTAGAAGTGAGCAAGCAAAAGAAACAGGGCATTGGGGAAAATAGGTGCATTGTAATTTTGGGTCAACTAATTTGGGTAACATGGGTTGGCAATTGAAGCAATTTTGGGTTTGGTTGACTTTGCTGCCACTGGAGAAGGCGCATTGCGTACCGAGAGGTGGTCGAGGAAGGCGAGCACAGCCACGTCGTCGCCGGTGACGACCTTCTCGGCCTCGCCGACGGCGGCGAGGTTCTGCACCGCAGGGCCCAGCTTCTTGCTGATCCAAGCCACAATGGCGTCCCTGCAGCAGAGCAAACGAAGGAGAGGAACCACGCATCAGCTGGAGCAGGGAATTGGGGATCTGGGAGGCGCCAGAGCAGAGCGGATTCACTAGTCACTACTAATTACTTGGTCCTCTCGCCGGCGTAGTCCCGGGGCACGCCGTCGATGAAGAAGAGGAGGGTGGGGTAGCCCTGCACGCCGTGCGCCTGCGCCAGCTCGTGCTCCTCCGTGGCGTCCACCTTGGCCAGCGCCACGTCGACGCCGTCTGCGGCGAGGGCGGACGCGGCGGCGGCGTAGTGGGGCGCCAGCGCGCGGCAGTGGCCGCACCAGGGCGCGTAGAACTCGACCATCACGTGGCGGCGCGCGCCAAGGATGGCGGTGAAGTTGGCGGCCGTGAGGAGGAGCACGTGGGCCTCGTCGGCCGCCGAGGGGTGGGAGTGGGAGGACTCCTCCGGCCCGTCGTCGTCGCCGAAGAGGTCCTCCTCGTCGTCTTCGTAGTCGGCGTCGAGGTCGGGGAAGTTCGGAGCGCCGTCCTCGGGGTCGTCGGTGGCGGTGGCAGCTGGGGCGTCGTCGAGGCCGGCGTTCTTGATGAGGTACTCCAGGTCGATGTCCGGATTGGAGGTGGGGGCTGAGGCGGAGGCGGCGTGGGGGAGGAGGAGGAAGGGAGTGGCGAGGAGGAGGAGCAGCAGGAGAGATCGGGGCGTGGGCATCGGCATCGCCGCCATGGCCGGCCGGCGGGCGAGGAGCGTGGGGGAGCGTGTGGGGAAGTGGGAGTGGGAAATGGAAATGGATCCGCCGGCTGGACTTGCCAAGACTCCATTTTTGACGGGTGAGAGAGTCCAACACATACATGAGGACCGTGTGAGTGAGCCCCAACAACTCCTTGTGCTGGGCCAGGCCCAAGCAATGCCAAGATGATTAAAGATGGGCGGCGGCGGTACCCGTGGGTGTCGTATCCCTCTTGGGGGCGTCGCTGAGGTCCATCTCTCTGGGCCGTCCAGGGCTCTGGGTGAAACCCCCTACCATTTCTCCGGTCTCGGCGGCGGGGACACGTTGTTGTCGTTTCTCTCTCGGGAGCATTGTCGTGGAGCCCATGTTGTCTCCGACGTGCCGCGCCACCATCGACGGACATTTTCGGACCCTGCCTTGAAGCTTCTTCCGCGCAGGCATGGAATGGTTGTACTTACTATCTTCCACACGGCTTTATATATAAAGTTGGGCGGAAGATCCTTTTGGCCAATTTTATGTTCACCCTTGATTACTATAGGGATGTCATTCCAATGCTAAGTACAAATCATGCGCATATTGTCAACTTATTATTGAATCCAGCTTTCAAAGCAAATTTGCTAGAAGTTCAATTTATACTCTATAACCTTGATTCTAGAAGCCTCAGTATTTGTGTTATGAAATAATACACTAGAATCACAACTATGATAACAAATAAATTGTACGCTTAGATCTCTACCATGCTATTGAAATATCCATGAACACATACATAGTCAAATATATATAATTTATGAAATTGTCTAAGAGAACTTTTGTTACACAAAATTAATTAAATTTATTGTAAAATAAAAAGTAATACACATGGTATTTATAATTGTAAAACAAAGAAAAAATTAATTAATATTTAGCGGCTTTATTATGTGGTAACTCAAAATTATAGAACATTATTCTCATCAAGATTGGGTTATGGTAAAAATAGCAATTTTAAGTAAGTAAAAAGTTTAGGGTAGAAATATTCGGATAGATTCATTTGGGCTGGTTATGCCACAACCATGCTCCAGGCCGACGCCTCCCCTACCTTGCCATCGCGCTGCTGCTGATGCTAGAACGCGTGCTGGCTTGCGCCTTAAGCACCCGTTAGAACCTTTTTCGTAAAAGGCACGCACCCCCTCCTTCGCGATTCATGTAGAATGGGCCGGCCCACCATTTAGGCATGAGCGAGAAGCTTCCGGGCGTTTTTTTTTCTTTTTCTGGTTTTGTAGACGTTTTTTGGGTTTTGTCAACGGTTTTATTTGGGGTTTTATTTTTCTTTCCTTTTCTGTTTAAAATAGGTGAACTTTTTAAAAATTTTAAACTTTCTTTAAATTTGTGAACTTTTTGTTCAAATCAGCAAATTGTTTTAAAAGGTTTTTACTTAAATGCCTGAACTTTTTCCCCTCAAATACGTGAACTTTTTCAAGTCCACATTTTTATAATCCATAATTATTTTTCCAAAATTGATGTTTTTTAAATTCACATTTTTAATCATTTTTTTATTATTTTTTTAAAAATGATGAACCTTTTCTATTTTTGTGAGTTTTTATTTGTTTTTTGCGAGGAAACATAGGGTATTTATTCCAAGATCACGGGATTACGATCGTTTGCAACGAGTTCAGCAATAAAAGGAGGAGATTGGTTAAGCCAGCATGCAGTACTATCCCCAGTACGACCATAAGTCGCTAAACAATGTGCAACCCTATTTTGTTCATGAGATTTTTTTATTGCTTGATCTTTGTTTTGAATTTCTGAGCTTTTTTGTTTTTTCACGTTTTTTTTTGAATTTTGTGAACTTATTATGGAAAGCCAATGGTCAAGGTGTCTGATTGTCAACGGTCAATAATGGCCGGTCAACTAGGAACCGGCCAAACCTGGTGAACCAGGAAAGTAAAAAACCAAGCAAATGAGGACCGTTTTTTTTGAGCGAACGAAGCAGGAAACGAGGCAGGGCTCGCAACGTATATTGGGCCGGGAACAACCCATGAGCGCCACATTAGTTTGAACCTGTTGTGGCAGCAGCAACAACGGAACTGCTGGAAACGACCTTTCTCAAAGCAAAAATCTCCCCTCCCGTAGGGTTTCCTCCCCCCTCGGCGGCGACTCGATCGCCACCGTAGGGTTTCCGGCTACCCTCCCATCTACGCCGAAGGGCCGCGCTCGGACCGTTCCAGGGGCGCTCTTGCAGCGCTGCCTGGTCTTGGCGTCCGCCTCTTTGGTTTCGGGGTTAGGCTAGGGTTTTGGAAACCACCCGATCGAAACTCTATCTCGGGTCAGAGAACAACATGGCGGCGTCGACGTCGAACTCCAAGGCGCGGGACCTGGAAGCGTTGATGAGCGAGTTGGGCCTCCAGGAGGAGGACATGGATGATGTGGTAGTGGAGAAGGAGGATCCGCTGCCGCCAGAGACGACTAGGTGGATGGCCATAGCGCGTGTCCACACGGAGAAGAAGTACAGTCAATATGGGTTCTATAAGACGATGAGAGCGGCATGGGATCTTGAGCAGCCCGTGCAGATTCGCACCCTTGAGGAAAACCTGTATACGATGCAATTTGCGTGCTTGGGTGACTGGGAGCGTGCTATGCAGGAGGGGCCCTGGAACTATAAGGGCAATGCGGTGATCATGGCTGAATACGATGGATTCACAAAGCCCTCGCTGATGAAGCTGGACACTTTGGAGCTGTGGATGCAAGTGCACGATCTGCCTGATGGCTTTTACCCCCCGTTAAAAGCCCTTGCGAGGAAGGTTGGGGAAGTTGTCTATGCCGAGCCAAAGTCCCAGGATTTCGAGGGGAACTTCTACAGGGTGAGGATCAAAATCAATGTGTTTAAACCCCTAAAGAACACGGTCAGTCTGGTTCACAAGGATGAGCGGCAGATCTTCAAAGTCAAGTACGAAAGGCTCCCAGATTGGTGCGCCGTTTGTGGCCACCTAGGGCACCAGTTTAAGGAGCACGTCAACGGCATACACCCAAAGTCGGCGCTAGTGTTTAAGGAGCTGCGTGCGAAGTGGTTTAGAGGGGCTGGTCCGGGGCCTGGACAGAACCGTTTTACTGGTTGTGGTGGCCGTGGCAGAGGCGCGGGTCGTGCAGGCCAATCAGGCGGGCGAGGAGCGGCACCGGCTGAATATTCAGAGGAGGGAAACACACATGATACCACAATGGCCGAAGTTGATGAGAGCCGTAAGCTTACCAAGGGCGATGCTGTCGTCACGAACCAAAACCTAAACCCTCAGGCGCAGGTGGCACCTGCAGGTCTGAGTACAACGGTGGGGGCGACTACTCTTTTGCTCCCAGCCCCACCTCTGGCGGTCAGCCCGAGCTCCAAACAGGAACCCAAAAGGGCCAAGACTGTCGCAAGTGCAGAGATTGCCCCAAAGGTCTCGTTGGTGTCCAAGTTTCAAGAGAATTTATCGGCGTCCTCCGACTTGGAGGGTCGCCGGGATCAATGAATACCCTATGCTAGAACTGTCGTGGTGTGGGCAACGCCGCGACAGTTAACGAGCTTTGCAAACTAGCGAAGAAGTTTGCCCCTCCTATTCTCTGTATTGTAGAAACTCAGATTGAGAGAGGTAGGGTAGAATCACTTGCTGGAACGTTGGGTTATGATAATAGTTTTGCTATAGATAGTCAAGGAAGGAGTGGTGTGATAACCAACAAGTGTAGGGGATCGCAATAACTTTCGAGGGTAAAGTATTCAACCCAAATTTATTGATTCGACACAAGGGGAGCCAAAGAATATTCTTGAGTATCAGCAGTTGAGTTGTCAATTCAACCACACCTGGATAACTTAGTATCTGCAGCAGAGTATTTAGTAGCAAAGTAATATGGTAATAAAGGTAACGGTAGCAAAAGTAATGTTTTTGGATTTTGTAGTGATTGTAACAGTAGCAACAAAAAAGTAAATAAACGAAGCACAATATGTGAAAAACTCGTAGGCAATGGATCAGTGATGGATAATTATGTCAGATGCGATTCCTCATGTAATAGCTATAACATAGGGTGACACAGAACTAGCTCCAATTCATCAATGTAATGTAGGCATGTATTTCATAAATAGTCATACGTGCTTATGGAAAAGAACTTGCATGACATCTTTTGTCCTACCCTCCCGTGGCAGCGGGGGCCTAGCAGAAACTAAGGGATATTAAGACCTCCTTTTAATAGAGAACCGAACCAAGGCATTAACACATAGTGAATAATCCTAGTTGCCATCACAATCAACTTATTCTTGCAGAAACTAAGATTTTTGTTGTCATTTGTGGCCAAAAGGTTATATTTCAGAAATGGTCAAGGAGGTGGCAGGTGTAGAAGAGGAGTGTTGGAATAATCCAAACATAGATGAGTTAGTGGATGTACCGTGTGCGTTGGATGCATGGCAAAGTTATGTCCGGTTAGGATTAGCATTATTGTTATCAGTGTGGCCGCGTAATTAGATTAGGAAAGTTATCTAGTTGAGTCCGGCTAAGAGTTGTACTTGGCTGTTTACGTGTGTTGCTGTGTACGTCCGTGTCTGTTTTAGGTTGAGCAGGTTTGGAGTTTCCTTGTGCTAGCTTCTAGGTGATGTGCACGGTCTGTGCTCGAGTGGGAGTAGCACAAGTTGGAGGCTGGGATCATGTATATATACACACCCTGGTGCGCGAGTTTTGTAATACCGTGGGAAAATAGAAAAATAAATAAAGTGAAAAGAGGGCACGACAAGGGCCCTTGGCTATTAGTTTTGTGTGCGCGTGTGTTTATTTTGAACCCTATTATTGTACGATCTGCTTTTATATTCAGCCTGTGTTGAAGTGATGTTTGGCAATATGGAATGACTGGCTGGACTCGCAAGGGAATGATGTAGTCAAGTTCGTAAAAGCCAAGATCGAGGTCGGATACGGCATTCCTGACCAAGTTGTGAAGAAGAGGCATGGAGGATTACCGGGTGGGCAGTTCATCACACTGGTATCATCGTGGGTGGACGACA